AAGTTTCTTAAAGCTTTTTATAAGGAATTACAGTACTGTTCTCACTACTTTTGGACTACCCTAAATAAAATAAGCTATTTATCACTATTTACGCATGTATTTTTAACGATGGATACGACATAACCGTATGAAATAAACAAAAATTTTCACCATATGACTTTGTATGCGTCCACTCAATTCGCTCTAACCAATAATCTATGATGAACTACTCGAAAATTGTTTCTATACTATTTTGTTGTGGAAAAAGTCTTCCAATTAGACATTCAAAACTTCTTTTGCGTTTTTCTCATAATAAGGTTTTTTATTCTAATGTTTCCGTATTTCCGAAATTTCTCCACCATTTCAAAAGCTAGAGAGCTGGAGTTGGTCACAAATTGAAGAGGATGGTCAGCTCTACAATTTAACTGAGCCGGATTTTTGGATTTTCTGTTTAATATCTAATGACGCTCGCCTGTTTTTTGAATACAAACACTACTCTTGACCTTTTCTATAAGATAAATTTAAAACAAAATTAACTGCAAAACAAAAAAATATCGGACCCTGTTAAGTTGTAGCGTCAGAGCTTGGCTATATTTTAAAAGCAGCCCAAGGTTTTTAGCATTTGAAATGGCAGAAAAATTTGAGAAACGCGGACACCCATTTTTTGATCCTTAATCTTAAGCTAACTCTTGACAGACTCAGTATTTAGAGCTGATTTCTTGACGGTGTAATAGTCCTGGTTTTGGCTACAATTTTTTTTATTGATTCTAATATCAGTTCAAATTTTTTACTGATCTTAATGTGAAGTCTATAAATCTTAATTCCTCAGTGAAAAATATCCAGGAAAAAATGATGATTATTTTTTCATGAAAGACAAGTTTGTGTGAATTCGCTAAAAAATTGTTTTTCTTTCAAAAAAACTGATTAAAATTAATTGTAATTTCATAATCACCCCTACAAATAATCATTGTTTTTGGCGGTTATAATCGATTAGTCATTACTAAATCAGATTTATATTTTACTCAAAGAGTGAACGTAGTACTATAAAAACAAAAGTTTATATGTAGCACTATATTTATATACTATGTAGTTTTATCTGCCAAGGATGGCTAATCGATTAAAATTGGTTAAATTTATTTAATTGATTTTGTTCATAAAAAACTCAGTCAGATATGTACGATAAAAGTTTTTATATAATGCTCTATTTCTATACTAAAGAGTGAGCCAAAAGTTTTGGTAAATTTTAAAAAAATTCTTTTTTTCTCTTATTGCATATAGATGAATATTATCCACAATTTTCAGATCTCTGCTTCTATTATAGAATAGATAGGTTGTGGGTGTGGGTGTAGGTGTGTCGGTGTGGATGTGGGTATGTCTTTCAGAAGACGCGCACCCACCCACCCACACCCCACACACACCGACACTCACATCACACGCAAGCGCACACCCGCACCCACACTCTCGAGTGTAGACCTACTTCTCTGAACATACAGTAATCTTTGATAGAGAACTGCACGGATGACTATTGAATGGTATAATCGATTTTACAAAAAATATGAAAGAAAAATATTATTCTACTGATTTACATAGTAAAAGAAGTGTCGTACGAGAAGGAAGTTTTTCTTTAGTCTAGTACGCATTTTTCAAGCATAAACTGAGGGATGCGACGATACTCGTTTTGTGTAATCGCAAAAAATACTAATACAAAGATGTTCACTTTAGACTCATCATTGTAATGAGTCAAATGTGGAAAGCGAAAAATAGACAATCATCATTCTCAAACGGTGATAAAATTGTGTTCAGTTCAATAAAGCAGAATATCCGTCTCTTGTTCTCTTCAAACTGATTGGTACACACCTCGACTAGAACATATAGCACGATGATAGACAAAAATGATACCATCTTTAGCATAACCAGGCAGGACAATCCAAAATTTGCGATGAGGAATAAGATCAATACCGGATCGTTGAAGACGGAAACGATTATACGATATAAACGTGATCAAATAGAGAAACACAATAGCTACAAGTATGATTATCAGAATAGTTCCAGTAGTGAGACTGTTTGGTTTTGCTGGTTTTGGACTATCTAATCGAAAAACAATAGACTTTGTTAGAAATTTAACGTCGAAAAAATCATTTACCTTTACAACCATTCCAACATGCACATTTAGTAGATAATGTCATATGATATTCATTCATTTTAGTTTCACCATGTACTTCAAGTTTGTGCTCATCCGATTGAATACAGTGCATATCAACGAATAATTGTTTGGTGCGATCAGCCGATGTATAGACTAGACTAGGCGTATCATCAAGAGTATTTTTCCAAATTATACTTGCCTGTGTACCAATCGAATAGGATACTCTGCCATCCTTTCCAACTAATTAGATGATTAATTATTAGATTGAATGCATGAATTTGTAATATGTTGATTTATCTTACTCTGACATCCAGCTACATTTGAACAGAGTTTTTCATTGAACGGATAGCAGGGATTGTACGAATAGACTAGAAAAAAAATAGAAGCAACAATGAAATCAGATAAAATTCATACGGTATAACTTGCCATAATTTTCGGTTTTATCTGGTGGAATATCTTTCCAAACAGGTGTTCCATCCATCTTGCCAATAGATGAAAGATCAACTAGACCTTTATTGGGTATTTCATATTTACATGGATCATCCGCAATAATTACATTGAAAATAAGAATGACGCCTAATATTTCTGACAAAACGATATCAGTAGCCATGTATGTGGTATAATGAATATAAAACAAAAACTTGTTATCTAGAGAGAAGAAGTGACTTACTTCTTCATATAAACAGAACGAAATAAAAAAAAAAAGGTGACATTTTCAGAGAGAAAAAAATAATAATAGAAGACGGCCGACATGATTAATCTAAAATGTCCACAATATCTGTCATAACGAGTTATCTTTAGAAGAAATGTGTTGGATTCATGTCTAGACTTCGTTAATCTAGTTCAGACTAGTTAGTAGAATAGAAAAATCATAAAAGAAGAAGATCAAAAGCGGACTCGAACATTCTATCCGACAGTATTCAATATCTGAAGGGCATCCTGCCGGCAGACTATGATATAGCGATAGACTCTCGTCAATTTAGACAGTCTGAATAGCAGAACGATACTCATCCCTCAGCTAGGTGATATTAGAACCAGTTGAAAACAAGTGACTTACTAGTCCGAAATGTCTTGGATGGTAGTCAAGACTACTAGTCTCAAAGTTCAGCTATGTACATCATGACTAGTCCATTTTTGAGAATTTATTGTCAGTCCTAGCCCAGACTAGTCTATAATCTATAAACAATTCTTTGTGTTTGGACTAAATTGACCAGCCAATTTATTTAGATTGACCAATAATACAAAGAAAAAGAAGTTGAATATAATAGGAGAAAACTTTCAATATCTATAGCATAGGTTAACAATAATCTGATGTATAATCAGACATATTTAGAACATAGATCACATAAGTAGAATAAAAATTATTTCGTTATCTATCTTTTACGAAGAATGAAGATAGAAACAAGATTGCTATATATAGAGATTAAATTATGCATGTAAAACAATCAATAAAGTTTATTTTATCTTCGCCAACGACATAATACCTTTTCAGGTTGGCAATAGTCCAATCAATTATTTTTCATCTAACCTTAGACGCATTCAACTATCTCAAAAAATTAGCTCTGGTTCGACTAAGTTCGACATTATTTTTTCGAAAACTGATTCAAGTTCTGTTCGGTTCGAATCGAGTCGAACCGAACCGAACCGTTATAGTTCGGCTCGGCTTGGCTCGGTTCATTTTCGCTCTCTGCTAACGACACTTTCTTGTGGTCACAATCGTAAACAAATAGAAAGTTTTTTCGCTAAATGCATCCTGATGGACAATCACCATAACCGTGTGAGACAATAAAGTGCCATCATCGATGATCGTCATTACTGCTGTACTCTTGTGCCACTTTTTTGGTTGGCTTTGTACCGGTGTTGGTGAGCATTTCATTGTACTGCCGCAATACTTCGTATGAAAGTGCATTTCTGCCATAGTTTGGTTTGCCAAAATGAGCATGAAAGTGCGAGACGCTAGGAATGTAATAGAAACGATCTCCATCGCCGAAGAGTCCATTAGGCATGGCTGATTCTAGAACATCCGATGCATTGGATTGATGTGCTCGAGACGCTTTGTATGGGTCAATGTATTGATCAAAGTGAAGAATTACCATAGTCATCTCTAGAATCGAGAATTCCTTATACTCGAGAAAAAAAAACGAATAGTTGCCACAAACAGCATCTCTTTCAATCAATCGTTGATCGAAGATTTTTATTCAAACCTTCAGTCCAATCTAAGAACATCATCAGGAAGAACGTTTTATATTAACCAATGCAAAAACACATAGAAGAGATTTAAGGGGCCTCTCGGAGATGATTTTCCACTTTGAACGGTCTATTTGGGCTGAAATTCCCAGGAATGAATGGTCCTTATGAAATGCCCTTGTGATAAAAAATTCAGCCTGATATACTCTGTTAGAGTGAACTTTCAGCTTGTTTTCCTACCTTCCACAGGAATCGAAATAACTCCGTCATAACTAGGGCTACAGACCTCTGGGGTAGTTTCAAATTAAAGCTTGCCTCCTGGCGCAATTTTTGTCCAAATAGAATTTTGAAATTCCTTCGCATTCATTTATTATCACCATTTTAATGGACAGATGTCTAAACTAAGCGTAAAAAACGTCATTCAATCGACAGTATATTCCACTTTTCTCAGTTCAGAAATCAAGTATCAAAAACCCGTTCGAAAAAAAGTTAGCTCTGATGAAGACCTTTAAAACAAAAAAAACATCGATTGTATCCCGAGCCGAGATAGAGCTATTTCGATTTTCCTACGCAGAAACTGTGTTTTGAGTAAAACGCTAAAGAAGTTTTGGAACTGAATTTTTTCATTCAAATTCAGCACAAAATCACATTACAATAGGATATTTTTAATATATATCAGCGAACTATCTTAAAGAACGTAAAAGATGAAGAATAGCTAACGCTATCTGTCATGCTGGTTAATATAAAAACGTTTTATGAATGCCAATGACAGTGAGAACACAGTTTTTCCAAGACTGAAAACTATAAAAACCACAAAAATTTTTTGGAAAATATAGTAGTAGATTTTAATTTTTTTTGTAATATGTCTGTAAAAATCTGATCGTTTTTCAAAAACCCATAGATATTCTGAAAGAGGAAGCTCTGGCGCATTTTTCTACGATAAAAATACAACTTCTATTTTCCTCGAAAAGTTGGATTTTCTAAGGGCGCCTGACGCCTGAAGAACATCTTTCGTTTCGTAATCCTATTTTCAACACGTACTTACAGGGTCTGGGTTTGGGTGCGGGTGGGTGTGGGTGAGTGTGGATGTGGGTGCGGGTATGGATCTTCTCTTCAACAGAACCCACACCTACACCCCACACTCCTATGCACACCCACACCCACATCCTCACCCCACACCCACATCCACACCCACACCCACACCCACCCACACACTCACACCAACACCCTCTTCAGATACTAATAAATCTCCTAAAGTTTTCACGAATGGTCGTTCTCGCATTAGAGCCCGTCGGGCCCAAGATTTTCAGACCCGGACCTGATTAGTTAAGTTTTAGCTAGACCCGGACTCGACTGAATTTTTTCGGACTCGGACCCGGACACCGCTGGTTAAAATTTATCGGGCCCGAGCCCGTATTCCATTGACTAAATCTTTTCTAACTCTGAATTGACCGGCATTCTGGACATTTTCAATGAATTATTCTTATCGGAATCTGATAGTGCGTCATATATACGAATTTTTTTTCCATCATAACGATCACTACTGCGCCCCATATGTTTTTCAGGCGATATTGATCATGATCTATAATCAAGTTGTAATTGGCTCAAACTCTTGACCAATAACTTCAGATAACGAGATAAAGACTTAGATTTACACAGCTTTATCTTATTTCTTTTGCTTAACAACTATACGATTAATACGTATAGTTGCCTTATTGTTACTGGTTCATATTTATAAAAACAAATTAAGACAAAATCATATTATTTATTTTTTTGACAAGCATATAATCAATATTTGTTTTTATTTTGTTGTTATGTATTCATATTTATATAAAACAAACTAAAACAACATTATATTATTTTTTTTGTTGAATGACTTATCGATTAACAATAATACTTGTTTTAATTTTGCTAATTCATATTTATAAAAAACAACATATAAAAATAGCATCATATTATTTTGTTTTCTCTAACAGGTATACGATTATTACTATTTTTATTTTGTTCTTATGAACTGATATTTAAATACATTATGAGAGAGTTTGAAAAGTCGACTTTTTTTGCGCCAGACCGA